TGTGGTATTTGACCGGACCCATAAATGCCATTAAAAAGATCTACCAAGGCGTCTAAATTGTTTTCACTTAACATTGTTAGAACCTCTATGTCGTCTGACATTTTCTTTCCCCATTTGCTCTGATTGCTCTTACAACTTCTGACTTTAATATTTTAGGGGAGGGTTCACTTTTATATTCACTTTCAGAGTTTCTTCTAGTTGTGTCTGAGTATAGTTGCTGTGTGTAGTTTCTCCAATGTTGAAGTAGATCTTTGGTATCAGTAATTAATTGATTGTCCTTCACCATAATGTTAAAACTGCAAGGTTTTGTATGACCTGAGAACTGCTAAAGACTGTTAAACATGAAAAAATGTTATCTGGAATATATAGTAAGAGGAAGTCGATATAAAATATTACAACTGGTCCTTAACGGCAGAATAGAGGGCGTAGAGGTGTAGAAAGGAAACTGGTTTCCTGGTTGAGGAACTTGCGTGAAACTCCGCCTAGAATGACTGTTGGGTGGATCGAGTAGCTTAACAGTCATTCTTGCCGGTCCCAAGCCCGGATAAAGGAGGAGGGTTAAGAGGAAGGCCAACAACCTGCCCTTGTAAAAAACAGCCTGTTATGAAAACTGCAAATGTGCCTCGGAATCGAACAGATAAATATGTAAAACGACAATCGCAATGAACAAGGACTTTGAATGTTGGAACGTGGAAAGTTTTAAGCTGGTACCGGACAGGAGCAGCCATACACGCAGTAAAACAGTTAGAAAAAGTAGGAATTAACATTACGGCAATACAAGAAATAAGGTGGCCGGACAATGGAAACATAAGAATAGACAATGCGGTCATTTTCTACAGTGGAAACCAGACAGGAAAACATGGATTCGGCACAGGTTTCGTGGTCCGAGAAGAATACTTAAACAGTGTTATAAGTTGTATGCCCATCAGTGAGAGACTGTGTTATATTATACTGAAAGGAAAATTGTACAATATCTCAATTATATCCGCACATGCTCCGACAGAAGATAAAAAAGAAACAATCAAAGATGACTTCTATGAGCAACTCGAAAGAACGCTGGAGAGAATTCCCAAACAAGACAGAGATAATCTGCGGAGGCTTCAACGCAAAAATTGGCAAAGAACTTAACCTAAGACCGACAATGGGACAACACAGTCTCCACGATATCTTGAACGATAATGGACAAAGGCTCGTAGAGCTAGCATCGGCTAACAATATGCTTGTAAAGTCTACTATGTTCCAACATAAAAACATTCATAAACAGACTTGGGTCTCTAATGACAACTCCACACGGAACCAAATTGACCACATAATTGTTGATGCTAGACACGGAAGTAATGTCCTTGACGTAAGAAGCCTCAGGAGCGTAGATGGAGATACAGACCATTACCTAGTAAGAACAAAAATCAGGTTGAGAATATCATCACAGAAACTTAAAACGAACGAAGCATTGGGACAGTGGAACATTGAGAAAACGCAAAATAAGGAAATCCGAGACAATGACGCACAGGAAATGGAACAACATCTAAATAGAATAGACCAGAGCAATGATGTCGAAAGGCTGTGGCAACAAATGGAAAAATCAATTACAGAGTCAGCAGAACTAATAATAGGAAAAAGAAGGACGAAAACAAGGAAATGGTTTGATAAAGAATGCCAAGAAAAACTACAAGACTGACAGAAAAAGCGAAACATTATGCTTCAACAAGAAACAACAGAAAGTAAAGAAAACTATACAACATCACGACGAGAAACAAGAAAACTAATTAGAGAGAAAAAAAAAATACGAACAACAGCATTATGAAGAAATGGAAAGAAATAGACAACAGTCAAATAGTCGAGCATTTTACAAATCTGTGTCAAACGAAAAGAGAGGATTCAGACCTAACTGCGTGTCTGTACTGACGAAAAATAATGATGAATTAATAATCAACGAATAAGAATTACTCCAAACATGGCAAGAATATTTCAAAAATTTACTTAATATACACCAAGATGAAAAACATGGAGAGGATATATACCTTGGGGTGGACCTACCGGTAGAGTACCCAAAATAGACGAAACATTACAAGCAATTAACAAATTAAAGAACGCAAAAGCTTCAGGCTCTGACAATATACCAGCCGAATTTCTTAAGTACGGAGGAAAAACTTTACATAGACAATTACACAAACTAATAACACTTATATAAAATGAAGAGAAAATACCAACAAAATGGCACGAAAGTGTAATAATTCCTATCCATAAAAAGGGAGACAAAACCAAGTGCTCTAACTATAGAGGCATCTCCCTACTTAATACGGCGTACAAAATCTTATCGAACATCCTATTAAGTAAACTAACACCTTTTATAGAAAATTTCATAGGGGAATACCAAGCCGGATTCAGAAAAAATAGATCGACCATAGATCAGATTTTTACTCTCAGGCAGCTGCTTGAAAAAGGATGGGAATTGAATAGAACCATTCATAATCTCTTCATAGATTTCCGACAAGCATACGGCAGCATTAAAAGGGATCAGATGTGGAATGCAATGCCAGAACTTTCAGTTCCAAAAAAACTTATCCAGCTCGTTAAAGTTTGTGTAAATGGCTGTAGATCTAGAGTGCGGATAGGTAACAAGCTCTCAGAGTCGTTTGAAATAAACAGTGGACTGAAACAAGGAGACGCGCTGTCACCTATTCTTTTTAATATAATCCTAGAAAAAGTAGTAAGAACCGCACAAATTAGAACAGAACTACTGACAGTAAATGGACCAAAATTACTACTGGTATACGCGGATGACATTGACATTTTAGGAAATACCGTCGCCAATGTAAAAGAAACCTTCAACAAATTAGAGAGAGAGGCAAAAAATACCGGTCTAAGGGTCAATGAAGAGAAAACCAAATATATGTGCATTACAGACAAAAGAGACGAGATAGAATAGGACAAAATGTAACAATAGACCCCTATAACTTTGAAAGAGTGGAGAGTTTTAAATATCTCGGAGCGACTATCACCACAGATAACGATATCACGGAAGAGATAAAAGGTAGAATTCAGGCAGCAAACAGATGTATGTATAGCCTCCACAACACTATTAAATCCAAGAGCCTAACACGAACATCAAAAATCAGGATATATAAATCAGTAATTAGACCGGTGCTCATGTATGGGTGTGAGACGTGGACGCTGACAAAAGCAATGGAAAGTAAACTCAGATGCTTTGAGAGAAAAATCCTCAGAAAGATCTTCGGTCCCTATCACGATCCGAATACTAACCAATACCGAATGGGAACAAATGCCGAGGTCAAACAAATGTATAGTGCTAGCGACGTAGTCCAAGAGAATAAATCCCAACGTCTAAGATGGGCTGGCCATGTTCATAGGCTCCCTAATAACCGCCTTACCAAGTTAATCTGGGAAGAAGTTTCGACAGGAGAAGACGTCCACGAATGCGATGGAGAGATAATATATGGTCAGATTTGAGAACAATGGGGCTACCCACTGACTTAAACATCATGGACGACCGTTCGAGATGGAAGCAGGTTGTGCAGTCAGCCAAGACCCACCCCGGGTTTTAGTGCTACCAGAAGAAGAAGAAGAACTTGCGTGAATGGACTCGGATATCAAATGCGGGACAATTATTCCATATTGCAGAAGATTGAGAAGCCTTCGTAAGAGTGATCGCCAACGTTGGATAATTCAGATATAACACGCGAAGAAGAAGAATACACTATGTGGATGGAAGTAAAAATTGTTCACGGAAAACAGACATAGATAAAGTTAGGGTTCAGTTTAGTGAGCTAACAGGAATATATAACGAATGTTAGGGACATAGAAAGATGAAAATCAAACTGCAGATTGGCTTGTAAGAACTAAATTTATTCAGTTAAAAAAATCGAGGTTAGTAAAAATTCATTTATATTAGTAAATAAACTATAATTTTTAAAATTATCGCAGTATCAAAAATCCATCAACGTATTAGTTGATGGAACAATTTGGCTATCCATAATAAAATTCAAAATATAAACAAAATAGAATTAACAAACAATGAAACAGCAAGAGAATTATTTAAAACAATTAGCTTGATTAATATAATTATTTTCTGGAATATATTAAATTATAAACTATATAAAATATATATTTATTTTTTAAATATATAATACTCAAAATTTTTTGGGTTTAGTATACACTTCCACTATTTATAATATTTCTTCTTTTTTCAAAGAACGAAGTCTGTAATGAAAGTTTATTGTGTTGTAAGTTTCCAGCTATGAATCTGTCAAAATATGTCCCAGCTGAGCGAATAAAGTTTATTGGGTAAAATACATACAAGCTATGTATATATAGCTTGTTTGGATTTAGACGTCCGTCATTGTAAAATTTTGTGTTGAAATGTTCATAAGGAAACCACTAATTATTGACGGAGTATTAGTCACTACCAGAAATATTGTCATGTTGCCGCGTCGTTTGTTGAGTTTTCAATCAGTGGCCTGTGACTTTTGTACTCGTGGTATCGTCGATTTTTGAGGTTATCTTATTTTATTTACTTGTCATTTGTACATTTATTTACTTGTCAAAATGCCCAAACAGCTAAATAGTCGATGGAAAGAACTTGTGGCTTCATTAGTTAACTATTTTGAAGAATTATTATTATTGGGAGAAGAATTGGGATTAATAATGGCCCTTTGTTACCCTTAAACGCTGTGCAAGAGGTAATATGCGAATAAAATATCATTACTTTATTTTACAAAAATTTGTATGATTTTAGCGTGTAGCTGTTGCTGTAAAAATCAGCGTAAGAACAATAAGCAGCATATGTCAAATGCAGAAAAAAGGTGAATGTTCACAATGATGACGTGAACGCAACTTTATTTGGCTTTCACGTTAGTTTAGTATATTTTGACATTTTAAAAGCAGCGGTCAAGTCACAAAATGGCGGTTTGTTTATTTTTATACAAAAAAAGTATAAAACGTCATTATATATATTATAATTATTGATCCTAGAAATTGTATGTCTTTTTAACAAGAACTTTAAGGATGTCACTTCAGCTATTGTTGTCAAAAGCCTCTCAAATTTGGCAATATGTCTGCACTGTATTCAAAAAGTGTACTAGGTCGATCCTTCAACACCAAGTTGTAAAATACGATATAGTTCCTTTATCACCTTTATCGAAGCATAGGTTAAGCATTGTTAAAAGAAAAATTCTCGTTCTTGATTTAGACGAAACATTAGTACATTCACATCATAATGGAGTCGTTAGACAAACAGTAAGACCAAAAATGCCGCCTGATTTTGTATTAGATCTTATAATAGAGAGGCATCCTGTCCAATTTTTTGTGCATAAGAGACCACACGTTAACTATTTTTTAGATATTGTTTCCCAATGGTATGAATTAGTGATTTTCACTGCTAGTATTGAAGTATACGGTACAGAAGTAGCTGATAGATTAGATGCTGGTACAGGTATTCTATCCAGGAGATTTTACAGGCAACATTGCACTCAAGAAATGGGTTCCTTTACTAAAGATTTAAGTACTGTTAGCAATGATCTTTCTAGCATTTTTATAATAGATAATAGTCCTGGTGCATATAGAGCATATCCAAATAATGCAATTCCTATAAAGTCATGGTTTTCTGACCCGACAGACATAGCTTTGCTTAATCTTTTACCGTTACTAGATGCTCTCAGGTTCACATCCGATGTAAGATCTGTATTATCGAGAAATTTACATTTGAACAAACTAGGATAGAACGTAAGTGTCCCCGTATGAAACCCTTCCAAAATTTTGCTTTTATTGTATACTAATCAGTAGAAGAAAGTAAATATTAGCTTATATCTTAAGAGAAAAAATGTTTTTTAATAAACAGATAACTATATAATTTGTGTTTTAGTCAAATTTGATAAAAAAAATGTAAGCCAGATACAGTTCAAAAATAATAATAAATAATTTAAACTTTATTGTACGATGTTTTGATCAATAAAGGTATAATTTAAATTTTGCATAAAATCAAGCTTTGAGGTGTATAAGTATTTCGTTTTTGTACATTAAACGAATATTTTTAATTTTTTTAACATGAACTTATTTAACCCTAGGTTACCGGACTTGTTCAGCCGGACGTAATTACCGGACTATCGTAAATTTTACTACTTATAAAAAATCCCTGACGATTGGAATATTGGATACATCAGCTCAATATTCAAGAAAGGGGATAAACGCGAATGCTCTAATTATAGGGGAATAACTGTTACCAGCTCAGTGGGGAGGTTGTACGGTCGAATAATAAAAGAAAGAATAGAATCAAAACACAAAGACATAGAAGAACAAAATGGATTTCGTGCAGGAAGATAGTGCACTGATGGTATATTCGTTCTGCAGCAGGTAATGAAAAAACGGAAGGCAAGGAATCTATCTACCCACCTACTGTTCGTAGTTTTAGAGAAGGCATACGATACGGTACCTTTAAAAAAAACTGTTTTAAACATTGACGAAAGTAGGTCTCAGTAGAGAGTATGTGAATGCTATCGCAAATATATACAAAAATGCAAGAAGTGTCGTTAAAGAAGGAAACTTTATATCTGAATCATTTCCAATAACAAAAAGGCTTAAACAAGGATGTTGTCTATCTCCGACCTTATTTAAAATATATATTCAATCATCGCTAGAGCAGTGGAGGAAACAAGTATAAGGAATGGGAATAGACATAGGCGATGGTAAATGTCAACAACTTTATTTTTAGCAGATGATCAGGTAGACATAGCGAATGATGAGGAAGACATGGACTATATGTTTAGAAAACTAAAGAAAGAATATGAAAAATGGGGCCTCAATATGATTATGTCAAAGACAGAGTATCTTAAAATAGGAGATGACGAAGAAAATCCAGAGTTAGAAATTAGAAACACAAAACATGCATTGAATATAAATATCTCGGATCTATAATATCTAAGGAAGGCACTACCAAAAGAGACATCGAAAACAGGACGCAGCAGGAAAAAAAAACATCATTCAACAACAGATTGACAATCTATCGAACCTTGGTAAAGCCTATTATGACTTATGGGGCAGAAGTTTGGCAGATCACGAAAAAAGATAGAAAAAGAATAGAAGTAATAGAAATGGATTTTCTAAGGTGAGCGTGTGGTGTATCCAAAAAATATCATATCAGGAATGAAGATATTAGAACGAGGACAAATACTGTATATTCCAGTGTAGACAGAATTGAAACGAGACAACTAGTGTGGTATGATCATGTGAAGCGAATGAATGAAAATAGATGGCCAAATAAAGCTTTAAATTAAATACCACAACAAAGAAGAAGAAGGGGAAGACCATGAGTTGCCTGGGAAGAAAATGTACGACACCTAATGAGAGATAGAGCCATCAACGATGGCGGTCGAAATGGGAGAAGCGGCAGAGGCTGTAGGAATCTCGCTTATATATATATATATATATATATATATATATATATATATATATATATATATATATATATATATATATATATACAGTGGTGAGTGCGATATCACCCGGCTTTTTAACGTAAGAGATAGAAAACACAGTTACCTTGTGAAATAAAAGGAGATGAAACTCGTAGAGGTGGGAAATAATCGATAGAAACCTATAATTTACATTACATTACATTACGACTATCGATAGTCTCACACCTTTAGACGTTACCTTCGATCTAAATCACCTCGGTCATAATTATTATGTTTGACAGTTTGACGTCGTATGTGTGACGTATTTCCATTTTTTAATTTAGATAAAGTAAAAACTGATTGACCACAATAAAGCAAAAATGTGAATAAAATAATTTAATTAATAGTGATTATTTATTCTAAAGTTTTAAATTATTAACCAAGAATAATTTCTACTATGATTTGAGGAGTTTCATACACTCTTGTCACAGAATAATTAGCAATTCTTCGTGGATTAGTGGTAAGAATTCGACTCTGCGACGCAGATGATTAGAGTTCAAAACCTACATGAGGTTTTCTTTTTTCTTTTTTTAATAATTTGAAATTTTGCAGAGATCGTTTTGCTTTGAATCACTAAACATTTATGTCAGTCGTTACTAGTATTTGAAGTGTTTAAAGTTAAACATAAATATCTTATTGAAAAAATAGTGTCGTCGTACTTTCGAAACTAAAGTAAAATTCTTCAAAATTAAAAGAATGTTTAAATAAGTAAAAATTTTACAAAAATAAAAAAATATTGTAAATAAACGTATTTACAATATGTTCAAATAAACCTTCATTAGCAGCAGAATAATAACCCAAACTGTCACTAAAGAATTATAAAAGTCTGATAGATCAGGGCTGAAGGCACGATGTACTCATGCAGGCGGTTAGGGTTCAAATCCTACAAAAAGTTTTTACTTTTTAAAAATTTGAAATTATGCAGATATTATATCGTTTTGCTTTAAATCATAATACATTTATTTCAGTCTTTATTAGAAGTGTTTATAGTAAAACATGAAAATCTTATTAAAAAAACAATGTACTTTCTAAAATAAAGTAAAAATTCTTCAAACATAAAAGAACGTTCTAAATAAATGTACTTACTAAAAATGTTTAAATAAGCAGAAATTCTATAAAAATATTCTAAATAAACGTATTTTATTCTAATGAAATGTATTTACAAAAAATGTTCAAATAAGCCCCCATTAGCAGCAGAACAATAACCCAATCTATTCTAAAAGTTTCGTCTAACATTAGTTAATGTTTCTGGACTAATACTTCTCATTGAATCAAAGATTCGAAGAAGTACTAGCTAGACTCAATGTAGAAAAAGAACTATTGAGAACAGTCAAAAGAAGAAAAACCAGTTATTTAGGGCATTTGTTGCGCAACGAGAAATACTACATCCCTCAGTTGATAATAAAAGGCAAAATAGAAGGAAAGCGAGGAATTGGAAGAAAAAAATTGTCCTGGTTACGTAATATCAGAAACTGGACAGGACTTGGATTTGAAGAACTCTTAAGAGCAGCTGAAGATAGACAAACGTTTGCCACCATAACCGCTAACCTCCATTGATGGAGACGGCACTTGAAGAAGAAGAAGAATCAAAGATCTTTTCTCTTAATTCTTGGAGAGAATTAGGCATATCGTCTTCAATTTTATATAGTTTGGACTTGATATATCCCCACATAAAAAAATCACAAGGTGCAAGATCAGGTGATCTTGCAGGCCAAAAAATATCTCCGTGTCCACTAATCAATCGAGTAGGAAAAGTCGCACTGAGATATTCACTGACGATGCGAGAATTATGTGCAGGACAACCAGCGTGTTGAAACCATATGGAATCGAAAGGAATTGGTAAATTACGAAGGGCTGGGACAATTTGATTTTGCAGAAGTTCCAAGTATTTCCGCCCAGTCAACATACCGTCTATAAAAAATGGACCAATGACATGATTCCCTATTATGCCTCCCCAAACATTTACTTTTTGAGAACGCTGGGTACGAGCAACATAAATCTGACGAGGATTTCCTCGGGACCAATACCGAGCATTCATTGAATTGTGACGGCCATGCAATGAAAACGTACATTCATCGGTGAACAAGACGTTCTCTAAAAAATGTTCATCTTGATGTGACATTTCCATTGCAGTTTGACAAAATTCTAAACGTCTATATTGATCCCCAGGGAATTGTTCGTTGGATTTATGAAGTTTATAGGATCAATATCCATGCCTTTTCAAAATTTTACCAACTCTAAATCTTGAAATTCCATATTGTTCTCCGAGACGAGATGTTGATTGGGTAGAATTTTGCTCAATACTTGCACAAATCAAAGTTTCTCTTAGTTCCAAATCTGGATTTACCTCCCTTCGCCTACGAACTCCTCTTGGAGCGAACACGGATCCATAAGTAAAAAAATTACGTATAATAGATTGAATTTTTGATCGTGATGGAGCCGGCCTATTTGGAAACATATTTACAAATTGTTGTCTAATCGTGTTGTCTGAGAATCCATTCACATGCCAGACAACAATTTGCACTTTTTCCTCGACCGTTAAAAATATTTTCACGAATTGTTTTTTCAATAAAAAGTTTCTGTTTACCGTGCAAAAACACTTCTCGATATGTTATTATTTGATGGCTTAAAGGCTTTGCTTCGCGCGCATCCTTTCCAATGTTGTCAATTGTTTTGAAAATCACTATCTGTACAGAGGAATTGATATTAACATTGAGAATTTAGTGATGGATTTGATATAAACAGTCTTCACCGGATTATTTTGCATTCACAACTGAAGACTGTATGAATTGAATTTGAATCATTTTGTATTTCCGTTTTATAACATTGGAATAAAAATAAATTGTAAATAATGAGTTTTTCGAAAATTTGTTACCTAATATGTATCATATTTTCTATTATTTTTTTATTGATAAAACAAAAATTTTATCCTTGGTGTGGAATTGAACCCCAATTTTCTCGTCAATAGACAACGTCCCTAACCACTACACCAATTTCACATAAATTAAGTGTTTCCAGACAAAACATACCTACCTTTATTTTAGTCAAATATTTCAGTTGAGTTATTTTTACTATTAAGTAAATTTAAAGATTTATAATTTAAAATCGCTACTAATAAATGTTTTTTACTATAACATATCTTAATTTATTCAAGTATTTATTCTAACATCAGGAATTATTAAAATAAAATATTTTTGAGTGTATCCGTATAATTATGACTGAAGTCAAATAGCCACGTCTAACGTCTAAAGGTGTGAGACTGTCGATGGTGGTAATGCAATGTAATGTAAATTATAGGTTTCTATCGATAATTTCCCACCTCTACGAGTTTCATCTCCTTTTATTTCACAAGGTAACTGTGTTTTCTATCTCTTACGTTAAAAAGCCGGGTGATAT